GCCTCCCTTTTGCCTCCATTCCCTTCTCTGTAGTATCAGGGATTGGACTGGAAGGTCTCAAAGGCCTATAAAGCTTTCCTATTCTGGCTTAATTCATACCCCAGGGAAACCAGTGTCTGCAGGGGCCCAGCTGTTTCCTACACTGGACCAAGGTGGCCTTGGTCAAGTGGCCAAGATAGAAGGAGCTGGGCTTTGGGCCCACAAAAAACTGGAAGGGCCCTTAAGAAAGGAAGGGATGAGGCTGACTCACACTCTGCAAAACACACAGCAAATCTTTCTCCAGGCCACCCTGTTCCTGACTCTGTCTTGGCTCAAAGTGGTATATTAGACACTTCTTTTGAACCATTTCAGATCTCGTTGATTCACCTCTTTTTAAAAAATTTTATTAATTATTAATATTCTTTATTTTGACCAGAGAGAAACAGAGCAAGACAGAGAGAGAAAGTGAGAAAGCAAGCCGCCAGGCCTGGAACTTGAACAGTGGTCAGCCATGTGGGAGTCCAGTGCCTTAACCATCACGCCACCTATCAGTCCAAATTCACCTGTCTCTTACTCCAGCCATTACCACACTTCTGTTTGATAGATCTTTGCTTCAGACCTAAGCCATACCTGGGGCTTTGCTGCTGATCTTCAGAGACTGTGTGTGTGTGACCTGGCGGTGGAGGGGAAGCAACATTCCATGGAGTGAAGCTCTGATGAAAGTGGGTGGGAGCTGGTGGATAAAGGTCTCTTCTTCCAGCCTAGTCAGTGACATGGTGGTTAAGGAAGCTGGATCCCACTTGGCTGACTAAGCAGTTTGAGTCCTAGACTGACCAGCTTGAAAACTGCAGGTTCTTGTGCATGCATGCCCAAAATCCCAAGAGGAGAATGGAGGTGAAGGGATTGCAGCAAGGCCATCCCCCACTAGGAGGTGTTGTCTCTTTCTCTCTCTTCCCCCAATGAGCATATAGGCCCTATAGCAAAAAAAAAAAAAAAAAAAATTCTTTTGCTAGGAATGGCTATCAGACAATACTAAAAAGCATTTCGATGGGGACCAGCAGATGGCATAATGGTTACATCGCTGGACTCCCACATGGCTGACCATGGTTTGAGTCCCGGAACTATTGGCTTGAAACACACAACTCATGCCAGGTTTGTGTGTGTATGTGCCCAAAATCCCCAGAAGAAAATAAAGAAGAAATTACAGCATGGCCATCTTCCCTGGGGGGTGATTTCTCACTTTCTGTCTCTCTGGTGAGGACATACACCCTATAGCAAAAATCTCTCTCTAAAAAAAAAAAGGGGACTGGCAGGTGGTGTGGTGGTTAAGGGCGCTGAACTCCCATGTGGCTGACCATGGTTCGAGTCCTGGATCTGGTGGCTTGCTTTCTCACTTTCTCTCTCATTCTGTCTCTCTCTGGTCAAATTAAAATAAATAAATAAAGTTAAAAAAAAAAAAGCATTTCAATGAAAATGTCAATCAGTTACAAAGGACTGAGCAACCTGCTGCACGTCGCCCTGGCTGACTTGATCATGTATCCACATTCTGGGTCTCCCTCTTTTTCTTTGTGGGATTGCTTCATCTCCCTAACAAAGTACATGCACATAAGCTTCAGGCTATACTCTTTAGAGAACCAAGGCCAAGATAGTTATAGCCTCCAGATTTAGGAGGAGTGGAACAAACTCAACCCAAACACTACTATAAAAAGAATAGCGGGGGGATCAACAAAAGAGAGCGCGGGGGGGGGGGGGCAGCAAGTGGCGTGATGGTTAAGACACTGGATTCCCACATAGTTGCCTATGGTTCAAGTCCTGGACCCAGTGGTTTGCTTTCTCTATATCACTCTTCCTCTCTCTCAATCTGTCTCTCTCTGGTCAAATTGACGAATAAAAATAATAAATAAAATTAAAAAATAATAATAGCTCAGTAGTTAGGGCAGTTGGATTCCACGTGGCCAACTATGCAGCTCAAGTCCCAGATCCAGTAGCTTGAAATTTACACCATGTGCATGCATGCCCAAAATCCCAAGGAGAGAAGGGAAGAGAAGGAACTATAGTGTGGCATCCCCCTGGAGGGATGATTTCTCTCTTCCTCACTTTCTCTCCAGTGAGTACATGCACCCTATGGCAAAACACTAAAAATTGAAAATTAAAAAAGAATAGTTTGTTGTGAGGTTGCCAACAATCACAGACAGGGCCAATCTCTAGAGCTTTAAGTTCATTGAGCATTCTTTTCTTTTCTTTTCTTTTTTTAAAATTATTTAACTTTATTTATTCATTCATTTATTTATTTCAATTTGACCACAGAGGGACAGAGTGAGAGAGAGAGAAAGCAAGCTGCCAGGTCTAGGACCCGAACCACAGTCAGCCATGTGGGAGTCCAGCGCCCTTAACCACCACGCCACCTGCCGGCCCCTGAGCATTCTTTTCTAAGGTCTTTTTTTTTTAAAGAGGTTTTGCCTTAGGGCACGTGTACTTGCCAGAGAGAGAGAGAAATAGAAACAGTGAGAGCGGAAGTGAGAAATCGCATCCCAGTAGGCATGGTCACACTGCAGTCTCTTCTCCATTTTCTTCCTGGAATCTTGGACATGCATGTACATGCGCCCAGTGTGTTTTAAGCCACAGGGTCCAGGATTCGAACTACAATCAACCATGTGGGAGTCTAGCAATGTAACTGCAACACCATCTGCCAGCCCAAGCCCTTTTTTTTAAAGGTTTTTGTCACAGGGCGTGTGCATTTGCCAGAGAGATACAGTGAGTGGGAAAGAGAAATCATGCCACAGTCCCTTCTCCTCCTTTCTCCTCCTGGGATTTTGGGCATGCACACACACATGTCCTGTGTAGTTTTCAAGCAGCCAGGTCTGGGACTCAAATCATGATCAGCCATGTGGAAGCCTAGTGCCCCAACCACTACGCAACCTGCTGGCCCCTTTCAAGGCTTTTTACAGAGATAATTCCTATACTGGTCCTCTGCGGTCATAGAAGTGAACTCAAGTTCTAAAAGTAGAAACTGAGGCCTGGACCTCTTAAGGTTTATTGACTTATCCTGATTAATGCCACTATGAAGTGCTATATGGCTCTGAGATTCAAATCTTGATCTTCTAACTCCAAGCCTGAAATCACTGAACTGTTTTCCAGTGTGATGAGCTATTTCATGGGACCTTAGAAGTCCAATGCTGAGGTCCAAAATGGCTCAGTGAGCTAAATCCACTTCTTTTATTTACAGTTTGATCCAAATACACTGAGCACAAGGCAGAAGGGAAATCCTGGAGGGTTTGGAAAAGTCTGAGGAAAGTGCTAAGGGCTACAGGTTGCTTCAGGGCTGAGCTGGGACTTCAGCATAGTCTCAGGAAGACTGCAGGTGTACAGCTAACAGGCTCTAGCACTGACAGACCAGAACCCCAGTTCAGCCACATATGTGCACCTGGGCCCCCTTAGAACCCTAGCTTCAGCTCTTCTCGGCTGCAGATTCCTTGGGCAGGGAAACACAAGGACCATCCTTCCCTCCCTCTTGCTGATGACCACAAGGGGGAACCTTCCGACTGGCAGTATGGGCCCTGAGGGAATGTGAAGCTGGGCGCAGGGCCCGGTGTGTCAGTTCCCATCACAGCCACACAGTCCAGCATGAGTCACCACACACGCAGCCAGGTGAGTCATGCAGGCTGACGGACACTGTGAGGACAGGACAGGAGGTGGCTGGGCACAGAAGGTGGGAGAGGACCCAGGGAAGGGTAAAGGAGCCTATCCCTGGACCAGTCATGCAGGGAAGTTTCCAGTGCTGACGAAGGGCTATTCTGATAACAGGATCCTGCTTTTAGTAGCCCCCTCAGCCATTCCAAGAGTGCTTGTCTCAAAAGCCCACAGTCCTTATTAGAACCCTGTTTCTTTTCTCTAAGCAAACACAGGCAAGACCTCATTTAACCTGATCACCCATCATACTACCCCAATGGTCAGAGGCCTTCTGATCCTGTCAGATGCCTTCTGATCCTTCCCCCTCTGTCCCTTTATAATAAGATAAAACTTTCGTATCTCTGTGCCATCCCCTTTTGTTAGCTAGTCTGCAAAACGAAAATGGGAACAAATGCAGGTCAGTCACTGCACCACCTTTGTGAGGCTACTACTCGACCATCAGGTATGGAGTAAAAAAAAAGCCTTGATTAGTATATTGTTTGGGATATACACATGGGTAGCCAACTCTAAGACACAAAAGAATGTCATAAACAAAACTTGGAAAGCAGTGTGAATTAAGGAGAGGTGCTCAAGGGGACTCAAAGTAGGTACTGATACAGGAGTGTTCAGGTTTTGTTTTAGCTTTTATTTATTTTTTAATTTTAAAAGAAAATTTAAATAAAATTATTAAAATCATTAATAAAATTAAATAACTTTATTTATTTAATTTTATTATTCATTCATTTATTTTAATTTGACCAGAAAGAGAGAGAGAGAGAGGGAAAGTAAGAAAGCAAGACACCAGGTTCAGGACTCGAATCGTGGTCAGTCATGATCTAGTGTCCAGTGCCTTAACCACCATGCCACCTGCTGGCCCAGGAGTGTTCAGCTTTTATACTGTTAAACTGTAGTATATGTGCCTTCCTTTGGTATAGTTCACAATAAAAAATACTAAGAAAAATAAGCTGGGGTTAAGAGTCCTGATTTTAGCACTTCTTAGTGGAGTGATCTCATGTAGACTCAGGTAATCCTCACTCACAGACCTTTGTGGGGTTCCCCATGACAATGTACAGGAAAGCACTTTTGTTAGTGTTCCATGCTGAGGCTCCCTAGGGCAATGCCTTTGTCCTTCAGGACTGATGGCTGAGCTTTTTGAGGACTTCCTAACTTTACTTCTCAGCCAGGCCAACTACATATAGCCCTTAAAAACGGCCTTGGGGAACCCACTCTCCAAAACAGACTGGGGAGAGCTTGGATGACAGCCAGTCTGTCTAGGGGGCTGAACAGAAGTAGGAAAGGGAGGGTGCGTGCGGTGGGCGAGCTTCTTCGTCCCCCACCCAGGTCCCACTCACCAGCCGTCAGGACCTGTACTTTCCAAGGGTGAGCAGCCAGGGCCCGCTGGTATGCACGCCAGAGAGCCATGCTTCCTGTCGGGCCAAGAGGAGAAGGGGTCACCCCCACTGCCCCTCTTCACAATCAAGGGGTCACCCCCACTGCCCCTCCGCATGATCGAGACGCTTGCATTCCCCTGTGGCCTCTCCCTCTCCTCCTCCCCACTCGCAACTGTCTTAAACGGGCAGAGTCCTCAGGAGAGATGCTACCAGGAGTTTCCTGTCACCGGGGTGCCTTAGGCTACCGTGGGAGAGAGAAAAGCTCTGGGCAGCTAGAAGCTCGCCCCCCTACCCTTGGTCCTGAAGCAGGGCCATTTGCGGGTGTCCGGTGCCGACACAGAGGCACCTCCGTGGCACCTGAGGACAGCCTTGCTCCGGCTGCCACTCGGAGCCAGGGTCCCACAAGAGCGAGGCTAGTCGGTCTCCAGACTCAGACAGCAAGCTGGAACCAGCCCGCATCTTTCCGGAGTCCAACTCCACACCGGAAGCAGGACTGGTCACTGCCTAGGCCTGCAGTCACATGCACAGCGGGAGCCCGAAGCGCGCGCCACCGGGAACCAGTGACCGCAGAGCACTCTGCCACTCACCTGAACGCCCGCTCCGCGCGGAGCAACCCCTCCCACGTGACCTGGGCCGGCTTAGGGACTTCCGCTGCAAGCCCTGCCCCTTCCGCCCAGCCGTCAGGAGTCCTTCGGGCGCTCGCAGGGCGAGTCCGGAGCTAGAACCAGAGTCGACTGAGCCACCAGTGCCGGTGGGGAGCAGCTCAGCTCGGTCCCTCACTCTGTGAGCAAGCCCTTTTCCGAGGGGGCTTTGCTGGGCCCTGCTGGCCACTCCCTACCCGGCTCTGGCCTCTCGACCGGGAGCGCCTCCCCGTTCCCGCCCAGCAGGCAGTTTGGAAACTATTATGAGCGAGTTTAGTGCGTGCGTGCGTTTTGCCCCTGTAGGTCCCTTACTAGCCTCGGTTGAGCTCCTGGGTGGGTAAAAGTGGGTCTTTCTTTTTGTCCTCACAGCGAGCAGTTCAGTACTTTGCCCAGGCAGCCCTTTGAGAAATATTCTATTCTTCGCGGAAAGCACCGAGTTACACCATCTTGGACTTCACGTACTGGCTCCAGAACTGACGATCATCAGTAGAATTTTCAATTTTTAATGTGAAGGGTATGGGGGGCTTCAAAACGTTCACGGAAAGTGGAATTAAAGTACACGTGCTTATTTCTGTGCACACTTTTTAAAGAGTTTTCTTTTGCACGTGCCTTGCCAGAGAGAGACAGACAGAAAGCAAGAAATCACCTCAGGGGGGATAGCCAGGCAACAGTCCCTTCTCCATTCTCTGGGGACCTTGGGCATGCACGCACGTACTCGTTTTGTATAGCGCGTGTGCGCCTGCCAGGAAGCATGAAATTGTCCCCCAGGAGGGATGATCACGCACAATCCTGTCTCTTAAAGGGATTTTGGGCATGGGACGCACAAGTGCCCGATGTGAGTTTTAAGCTACTGAGTCCAAGACTCAAACTGTGTGAACTACGTTGGAGTCCAGTGACAACCATTAGGCCATCTACTGGTCACAGTGCTCACATTTAAGACCTTTCCTGTTTTTGCCAGCACCATCCTGTCCCCACCTTCCAGTTTAGGACTACAAGCTGAGCCTGTTCAGCTTGGGCAGGGACCAGGGAGGGCCACATCCTCCAGAGTGGCACACTGTCATTTGTGCCACCAGGGCTGGCCTAGTCAGTTAGCTTTGAGGTTCAGGTTCCTCACCTATCAAACTGGGGGCAGGGTTGACACCATTTTTCAGTTGGGTTCCTCAGTTCTAGGGATGTGTATTTTTGTTCGAGGTGTGTGGGGGGTGTCACATACAACTTCTCTACTTCAACTGGTTTTTAACATATACTTTTAGAAAGAGCCATCTTTATGAAGGTGCTCTGCTTTGAAAAGCAGTAAAATAGTAATTTTTTTATTTGAAGATTTTTGTTCTAGAGCACTTGAAGTTGCGGGGGTGAGAAATCACTCCCAGGGAGGATGGCCATGCCACAATCCCATCTCCTCTTGGGATTTGAGCACACACACCTGGTATGTTTCAAACCTCTGGGTTTAGGATTTGAACCACATCCAGCCATGAGGGAGTTCAGTGCCTTAACCAGTACCCCACCTGCTGGCCCCAGACTAGATAGGTTTTAAATCCCTTTCCAGCTCTAACATTTTTTAAAAAGAATTATTTATTATTTTCACATGAGTTCACCAGAGACACACACAGAGAGAAAGGGAAAGTGAGAAAGCGAGGCACCAGGTCTGGGGCTTGAACCATGGTCAGTCATGTGAGAAGTCCAGTGCCTTAATCACATGCCACCTGTTGGCCCCTAGCTCTAGCATTCCAAAGTTCTGTGAACAGAGTGCAATCTCTGCTCTAGGATGCCCTTCACTATCCCTGGCAGTGGATTCTTCAGGCAAAGCTTTTGCTTATCTCCAGGGAGCCCTCCCTTCAGAAGACTCTTTCAAGCTGTCAACCTACTCCAATAGAATGAACTCCTATTCAATTAAGGCAGGGAGAATCCTTCCATAAATACTGAGTAAGGAAGCAAGAGCATCCAGTCACGTTTAACTAAGAGGCTCCAACCTTCAAAACAGCATGCTAGAGGCCTCAATGTATGAAAGTGTAACAGAAGACCAGGTGTGGTTGGTTGGAAAGTTGTATTCTGAAGTCAGCCCGTATAGATTAAAATCCCAGAACTACCATTTAGTTCAGGCTGTTTAACCTCTGAGTAAAATGGCAATACCTATCTCACAGCATTAACAGATGCAAATTGCCCCAAAAAGTTTGGGCACCTAACAGTTATTTGTCCTTTTTCCTTCTTTCTCCCTTGGCAACACATGGGAAGGGCAGGAGACTGTTTTACTAGAGAAAACTGGGAAGCTCTTTACTGAAGGTGAGATTTGAACTACAATCTTGAAGGATGAGTAGAACTTAAGTGAAGATGGTAAAAAAGGAAAACTACTGCACAGGGGGACAGTGTGAGCAAAGGCACAAAGGTAGAAAAGAAAAGGGATTGAAGGACACTATAGATATATTGGGAGGAGGGCTTGAAAGGAATGGCCTGGGGCAAAAAGGGGGCAAGACAGGCTAGATGGTGGTGCAACGGGGTCCACATGGGCTCAGTGGGGTTTCCCTGAATGTGCAGGGCACATATACCCATGATGTGGGCTGGAAGCGACTGGGACTGGATTACAACAGACTGTTGGTGATCCCTCTTTGTCTTATGGAGGAAATTAACTTAAAAAAGGAAAAAGCCAAGAGCTTAAAGCAGCATCCAAGACTTTCTCTTGGAGGTCTAGTCTAGGGCTGAGACTCGGCAGCAAGGGCAGGGTTGCCAGCACCAACCCACAGCAGCCATAGCATGTATCCAGGTGGCAGTTTTCCTATTACTGCCAAGGAGACAGCTGTGAGGAATGGGCACAACAGCTTCTCTGCAACCGCTCAAAAATCAAAACTGGCACTGCGTCAACTGCGTCACAATATGGTTGTGCCACACTGGGCTTCTTTGCACTGTAGGTGATGGTCCTCCTGCTGCTAAATGACCCGTTTCTTCTAGGTCTTTTTTTTTTTTTTTTTTTTGAGAGTTTTGCTATAGGGTACGTGCACTTGCCAGAGACAGACAGAAAGCGAGAAATCACCCCCTGGAGGGCGGGGGGGTGGGTAGGGCCACACCACAATCCCTCCTCCATTCTCCTCTCGGGATCTCGGGCACACATGCACATGCACCCAGCATGAGTTTTAAGCCACTGGGTCTGGGACTTGAACCGTGGTTGAATACTTGGGAGTCCACGACATAGCCATTAGGCTAATTGCTGATCCCTCTTCTAGGTCTGTTTTCTGCACAGGATGGAGCATGAACTACTTGATTCTCAAAGATTTTCTGACACAAGAGTAAGGCCCTACACTAGAAAGGCAGATGGCTATTCCTAAATATCTGACCAGTCTGAAGTGCAAGAGGGGCTTGTTTCAAGTAGGCACTAATCTCTCTCTGGCTGGAGCTGGCTGACTTAACTTCCTCTATTTCCCATGGCCAGCTATTTCCCTATGAATCCCAGCCTGAAGGACCATGCGCCCCAAACTACTGTTTGTCTGGGGTTCCATCCTTGCTTCCAAGGCAGTACCTTAAATCACTGTGAGCCTGCAACATACCACAAGAGAACTCTAAAAGGGTAAGATATAACAATACATCCCTCGACTTGGGTTCTAAACACCTCCTATATATACATGGTTTAAAATCACTAAGTATGTTTAATAGGTCAACAATGTGACAGTATCATGAAGGATCAAAAATCATGACGTGTAAAAGAATGGTTAAAGTAACTGAAGATATTTAATCTAGAGAAGACTTGGAAAACACATGATAGCTATTGTTAAATACTTAAAAGGGCAATCACAGGGAAGAATGACTAGATTTCCTAACAACCATGAGTAAAATTTGTAGAGGTATGCTCTCGGACTTGATATAAAGGATATAAAGGAAGATTTTTTTTAAAACATGACTGTTTGGGAGTGTTCAAATAGGGTCAGATGACCAATGACTGGGAATATTTCATAAGCAGGAGCAAGTAAGATCTGAGCCACTCTTCTAATGGTAGGGTGTTTGTGGTGTTCCTCAGGTAAAGTACTATAAGCAGCTTCAGTCCAATAAATTACTATCACCCCTCTTGGGCCTGTGTGATGGTTAATCTAAAGAGGAAGTATGGGAAGGCAGTAACATTGCATCCTGGAATAGTCAGACTGGAGCCTTCATGCAGATACTCTTTCCAGTTCTCCAAACACCCACTCACAAGTGGTCTCAAAAACACCCAGTACCTTTACTTAGCTTTACCCACTTAACAATATGCTCAATATGAGCAGTTGGACTCCCAAGCCTAGGTCAGGCCTGAGGGTTTCTCATGAGCCATCGTTTTAGGCTAGGAGCCTTGAGAGTTTATGGAGGGAGAGCCCCCTAGCCCGCAGGGGGCTGTGATCATAGAAGTCTGTGGAAAGAGAGGGATCTAAGGAGTCCTGGGGAGATAGGCTTAAAAGGTTCAGGCCTGGTATCATCACTGTCCAGGAAGGCCCCAGTTCCTATGGCTCTGTGCATGGGGGCCATTTGTTCTTGGCAGACTTCATTCCAAGGGTCCTGCTGGACCAACACTAGGGACTGGGTAGAAGGCAATGGCTGGTTGGAGTGAAGTCAGGCCCTTTAGCAGAGGAGGGTGTCTGGAACATAGCATTGAAGTGGGCTCGGCTTTCAAGCTGCATACGGTGACCCAGTGGGGAGGTGAGTCCACGGACGAAATGGATTCGAACCAGCCCAGACTGCCCCCCAGATACCAGCCATCCATAGGAGTCCAGGTTTGGGCTGAAACGTACCTGGGAAGAGAACAGAAAAGAAAAAAAGTGGTGCTCAGAGTTTGCTTTAGGGCAACTCCTAGCTGTTATGGCCAAAACAATGGGCCATGATTTGAAAGGCTAGGGGACCATGATAGGGTGAGAGAGGCAGAAATGGGAAAAGCCCATGAGTGTTAAGTCTACCACATCTAGAGGAAAAGGAGGTTACCAAAGCTTTCCCTCATTAGACAGACATCTGTGTTAGCTTTTCATCTCCCATTCACTGTTCATAGGTCCAGAGTTGGGGAGAAAGGAAAGGGTGAAGACAAGAGACAAGTTCTTACCTTATGAATAGCCTCAAGTTGCAGCCTGTCCAGGCAGAGCTGCGAATGCCCCTCTCCCTCTTCCATGCGCACCATTGGTTCTCTATGGACCAGATCGTGGAATGAGCCCTGGGAAGGAGAAGTGGAATGAGAGCAAGAAAGCCAGCAGCTCCGTAGTTTTGAATCTTTATGTGAGAACCCTTTAGACTCTCTAGCACACAAGGACTACAGTTTTCATTTTTTTTTTAAGTTTGGCAGAGGGCACATGTGCAGAGACTCAGAAAGAGCACCCCCATGGGGGATGGTCATGCTACAACCCCTTCTCCCTCATCTCTCCCTCCTTTCAGAATTTTGGGCATGTATGCACATGTACTCAGCATGTTTTTCAAGCTGCTAGGTCTGGGACTTGAACCGTACAGTCATGTGGGATCTGGTCACCTTAACCATCATGCTGACTGGCCCAGGACTACAGTTTCCTCCTCCTTCTAATACCACACCCACTCTCCTAGCCTCAATTTACCAAATCTGTGTCTTGAAAGAGCAAGTAGTGATGGTTGATGGTTTCAGCATAAGTTCGAGCCTTGGGAGGGTTGGGAGTCCCAGATGAAGCAGAAGAGTGATCATGACTTTCGGGACTGTCCTGATATGGCATCAGATCTGCTTTATATATAGGCTAAAAAGGAGATTAGGTTCTGTATTACTAAAGACAGGAAAAAACAAAAACAAACAAACAGAAAAAACTGGTTTGGGGCAGGAAAGACTTGAAGATGGAAAAACTGTTTAAATACATGCTCAGATGTAGGAGAGTAGGAAGTTCATGTACAATTCTAAGATTTTCAATGATAAAATCAGGGCTGGGAGGCCTAGTACTAATTTGTACTCTGTCAGAAGTTGGGAGGGCATGTGGATTAGGATCCAACAGCTGCTTTGTATGTGCATATACGTACGAATCTTCGCTCTACGGGTCGCTTGACATTTATTGGGTTCAGACCCATATCAGGCAAGATAGCTGCAATGAGCTCCCCGGATATATCTCCTGCGGCTACTGATCCAAGCCAATCAGATCCTGAAAGAGTCTAATAGAAAGAGACTGACTTCATTCCTTTATTCACACATTCATTCAGTTCTATGAACTTGTAAAACCTGCACAGTCTAAGATGGGAAGACACACATAAACAAAAATGCGTTTATCATAACCTATGTCCCCAATGACACTTGCGACACACTTTTCTTCTTTTACCCAAAACAGCCACCTCCTCCTGACTACCTCTAGTGTAAGTAAATGAACCATTTCCCTCTCTGATGAAGATTGAGGGAGAGAGCAAGGCTCACCCAGACAGTGCCTTTTCGAGGAGCAGTGAAGTAGGCCTTGAAACCAAGGTAACCAGCATCAATATAATGAATTCCACAGAGCCCGTAACTGTTAAGAGAAAGAAAAATAAAATAAAACCTTCCTTTTCTGACTAGACTCATCACTATTCCTCACTTCCTTCCAGAGTCCAATTACCTCGATAGACCAATTCTCAAGCCCCCTCCTCCCACAATAATCTGCTTTGCACCCCAACCCTTAGGGCCTGTCCCAGAGCTCCTGTTTTCATCCTGTCGTACGAGGCATAGCAGTTGTCCTGAGCCACAGTGACACCATTGTAGGGAACCAGCCAGGCCAGCTCGGTACTCAAGAAGCGCTTGACAGAGTTTATTGGTTCATAAGGTCGACGAAGGTCCCAAAATTTGATTTTCCGGTCGCTCCCCGCAGAGGCTAGAAAATGACTAGTGAAAAGAATGGGGAAGATTAAATCTGAACAAATCTGGAAGAGCCTGCCCATCCCAGTCCTCACCGGCCTCCACAGATCCCTGATTCAATACCTACCCATTGGCTTTGCACCACTGAAGGGAACGCACAGCCTGGTCATGGGCTAGGAAACATTGGAAGGGGTAGAGCTTCAAGGAGCCATCAGAGAGTCGTATCCGCTGCAAGGGAGAGTTGGTGGGAAGGTTCCATACAACCACCATACCTGAAGTAGGGACAGAATGTGTGGACATTGGAACCAGCAGTTAGCATAATGGCTATGTCACTGGACTCCCATGTAGTCGACTGTGGTTCACGTTCTGGACCTGGTGGCTTAAAGCTCACGCTGGGCACGTGTGCGTGCATGCCCAAGATCCCGAGAGGAGAATGGAGAAGGGATTGTGGCGTGGCCATTCCTCCTTGGGGGGGTGATTTCTTGCTTTCTGTCTCTCTGTCTCTGTCTGGTGAACACATGCGCCCTATGGCAAAAACCTCTCAAAAAAAAAAAAAGAAAAAGAAAAAAAAAGAAAAAAGAAAAAAGAATGTGTGGACATTAATAGTATGTTCTCTCTACCTTATTTATTTATTTTTAAAGATTTATTTATTTAATTTTACTTATTCACTCATTTATTTTAATTTGAGAAAGTGAGAAAGCAAGCCACCAGGCCCGGGATTCAAACCATGGTCAGCCATGTGGGAGTGTTCAGTACCTTTGCCACCATGCCACCCACTGGTTCCCCTCTCTCCCTTATTCTTATTTCATTTTGTGGATTCCTCGGACCTTTGTCTCCTGCCCTCAGCTCTGAAATGCTATGAAAGAATGTGAAGATCAAGGGACCAGTAGCTGACATAATTAATGGCTATGTCGCTGGACTCCTATGTAGTTGACCGCAGTTCGAGTCCCGGACCTGGTGACTTAAACTTACGCGGGAAGCATGTGCATGTGTGCTCCCAAGATCCCGAAAGGAGAATGGAAGAGAAAAGACTGCAGTGGGATGGCCACACCACAATCCCTTCTCCTCATTCTCCTCTTGGGATCTTGGGAACACACGCACATGCGCCCAGCGTGAGTTTAAGCCACTGGGTCTGGGACTCGAATCGCGGTCAACTACATGGGAGTCCAGCGACATAGCCATTACGCCAACTGCTATTGCATATATGTATTTCTTATATTGCCTGAATATTTAGCTATAAATAATGGCCAGTACTGAACTAAAAAAGAAATAATCACTAAAAGCACAAGTATATGTAACAAGTTTAAAAGCAATAGTTCTGTTTTCTTTTGTTTTTACCATTGTAGTATCCAGCAGCAAGGTGGTGATGGGGCCTGGTTGGCATCCATGCCAGGCTAAGGCACTGACCACACTCAGAGGGGTCTGCAGCTTGCACTGAGCCCACCTGCAGGGTTGCCACAGTCTGTACCTGCAGTGATAGAAGAGATGAGAATAGGGTGAGAGATTACCTACTCTTTGGAAATGGAGGGTCGAATCAGTGTTTGATTCAGCAGGTTTTCATTTTTCAGAAGCAAAAGCAGACTCACTGTGGAATCAGTAAGGCGAGGCTCTGAAATGGAGCCTCGGCTAGGTGCAGTTTCTTCACTCACTCACCTTATAGATGGCTGGCTTCATTGCATCTGTGAGGAAAGAACAGGGGCTGATGTGATGGATCCAGACAACTGAGCTCTTAATGAGGCCTTGCTCTTAGATCAACACCCTGCCCTCTGGATAGTGACTTTCCCTTACCCCCGTGAAAGCCCTTATCTTTCCAATATTAAATTTATCAACCTACCTCTACCTGGCCCATCTTCTTTCCATCTGTTACCCTGAGAGTATCCTTCTTCCCATCAGAATGGCTAATCCCTCTGCTCTGCTCTGCTCTTTTAGCCCCTCTCACCTTTTCCAGAACTTCCCTCATGTGGTTATCCCTATTTCCTCCATTTATATATATTTACTCTTTACCTAAAGCCATTCCCGGATTCCTAAGTAAACACACCCCATTGTTTCCTGTCCAGATAGAGACAGATAACCCAGCCAATGCCCTCATCTGTTCCTCTCCACATCCAAACACTTCTGAAAGAACCATCTGTGCTTACCATCTTCACTTCCTGACCCCCTACTCCTTCCTTGACTTACTCCTCTGCAAGACCACCAACTACTGACCTTCCCAGTACTCAGACCTGGGGGCCCTCTTTCCTCTTGCTCATCTTCAGCTCTACATCCTCTTCCTGTCCTCACAACAACAATACTGTGCATTTTTGTGCGTATATGTACTGCTAAGGGCAGGAGAGGTTGAGACCAGGATTTAGGAAACACAGAGTATGGCTAAAGTAATGAGCCCCATCTATCAGCCTTAGCACTTAGCAGCTCTTTACTGAGCCCAGAAGAGTTTTAGGGGAGATGAAAGATCCTGCTAAGCTCAGGGTACCTCTATTGTAGCCCCTTCTCCCTGAATCGCTACTCACCTGGAGGCTGCTCAGCCAGCAGGGCCTCCGGATGGGGCAGACTGAATATCAACACCTTCCCGTCGGAGCAGGCAAGAGCCAAGAGACCCAGACGGGGCAAGAGAGGAGCCTGCAAGACAAGACCAGACGTGTGCTGAGATGTGCTACTTTCAGGCACCTCCCAGAAAACCTCTGTGGTTCTAAGCCCTGAAAATGCAATACGGAGTTGGCTGGAAAAAAACTATCACACTACAACCTTTCTTCCTCCAACTCTGAGAACTCCCAGGGTCTCTGTCCCAGTCTGAGTCCTAGGGCCATTCCAGTCAACTGGGAAATACCTTCCGAGGGGTGCCTGGAAGTTCCCATGCTCCACTGGGGCAGAACTTGAGGTCCCAGATGCAGCCGTGGTCACAAGCAATCCCATAGACAAGGTGGGCCCTGTTGCCAGGACTGGGGACAGAAAGCAAATGGGGACAGTGGGTAGAAAGGAGGGACCTTGAGCCACCAAAGTGAGGTTCCCCTTGTCCCAAACCAAGCCAAGTCCTCCCCTCTCCTGTCCCGGTCCCTTACCCTTCTCCCTCTAAACCACCCTCCCATGCAGTGCCCCAGCCCCACCTCACCAGTTTTCTGGCTGCAAGGTCCCAAGGCCCCAGAGCTGGAGCAGCCCAGGGCCTGAATGAAGCTGGCTCAGTGAATGTGTCTCGTTCATGTCAGGGCTGGAGAAAAGGGCGATATACTGCGAGGCTTCTGCTCCCTCTGGCACTGGGCACCAGTCCAGAGCCCAGAGAGGGCCTCCCGTGAAGAAGGACACATCCCAGCGCTCTGGATGTGCTGTGATTGAGCTAAATCTAGAAAACAATCAAAGATGGAATGAAAAAAAGTGTTACAAGGTTATGGGGAGGATTGGCAGGTGGTGTGGTGATTGAAAGCTGGATTCCAACATGGCCAATTGCAGGTGGAGTCCCAGACCTGGTAGCTTGCTGTCTCATTTTTCCTTTTTCTCTCTCTGTCCGGTCAAATTAAAATAGTAATAACAAATAATAATAATAATTAAAAAAAGGTCATGGGGACAGAACAGGAACTGCACCTGGAATATGAACTGGCCAGGGCCTATCAAGAACAGTCTGAGGTGAGAATAGTCATTGCCACCAATTATGTCTTTCTCCTCTGCTTCCCAATGTCTGTCTAGCTCCAGCTCATCTTCAAAAAATCATAGGCTGGGGACCAGCAGTTAGCGTAATGGCTATGTCGCTGGAGTCCCTGACCACGGTTCAAGTCCCGGACCCAGTGGCTTAAACTCATGTGAGCATGTGTGCCTAAGATCCCAAGAGGAGAATGGAGGAGAACGGATTGCAATGTGGCCATCCCCACCCCCCACCCCAGGGGGGGGGGCAGTGATTTCTCATTCTGTCTCTGTCTTTCTGGCGAGTCCACGCACCCTATAGCAAAAACCTCTCCAAAAACAAAATGACAGGTTGCTCCTTCTGGTTCGCTACAATGTTATCTCTAGAGTGAGTCTGTCCAGCTCGACCTGAGCAGATGTGACCCCGTACACTGGTTTGCCCCTAATTTACCTAACATTTTTGGGTCTGGCTAGCAGAAATGAGCACTGAAAATTCAAGAATTAACCAGTTCTCCTTGGGACCAAAAGGATCAGCATCAGAGGAAGGATAAAATTAATTTGTCATCTTTTTCAACAATGATTTCTGTTTCCGTCTCCTAGATTCAGAAAAAAAGGTTGAGGGGTTATCCTCACCTGTTAATCCGGTAGAGAGTGCCATCTTCAGGAAGTCCTTCACGCTGTACAGAAAACAGTGGAGACTTCTCCTCCTGGGGCAGGTAGGGAGCTGCCTCACTAGGGAAGGCAAAGGGAACAGATGCTTTTTGCAAGAGTCTTGTCCATCCCAGGATTAGCATTACAGAACAAAAGTACTATGTCACCCTCCCATCTCCAGTGCTATCACTCCTCCTAGGCTTCAGAGATGTTACTTCAACTCACAGTTCAGATAACAAGTTCCACTTCCAGGCTAAAGGAATCCACTCAGCAAACTCCCAGTAGGAATGCTTCTGGTCTCGGCTGGAGAAAGACAAATACCACCACTGAAGAAGGTGAAAGATGCTATAGCAGTGCTGTCTAGTAAAGCTCTGTTAGGATGGAACTGGTCTATGACCTGCATTGTCCAATACACCAGCAGCCAGTTGCCAAGAAGCTCCAGGCACAGGAAAGGTGGGTAGTGCAACTGAAAAACTCAACTTTTTGTTTTCTTTGGTGTTCTGGAGCTCTGGCCTTTGGAGCAGAGCCTTTTAGTAATGAATGTCAAGCACCTGTGAAATGGCCCCACTTCCAGACAACACTTTGCATTTCTCCACCACACCCCCTTCACCCCAGTCCCATTCCCCAGGTCTCACAGGTCCTTAGTAAGATGAAAGCACTTCCAAACTGGAGCCATGATGTGATTTGGTAAGCCATTTGGAGCCATTCCTCGGCAGTGTGGCTTCTGCTTCTGAGGATAGATTTGAAGAAAATTTAAGTATGAGAACTTTATAGGCTGGAGAAAATCCCAGGAGAATGCTTTTTTCCCCCAGCTTTTACTTTCTTTGGCATTATTCCCCCTCCAACTTGCTCCATCAGCATCTTAAATGAGTTATGGTTTGGGACCAGCAGTTAGCGTAATGGCTGTCGCTGGACTCCCACGTAGTCGACCACGGTTCATATCCGGACCCAGTAGCTTAAAATTCACGCCGGACGCGTGTGTGTGCGTGCCCAAGATCCCGAGAGGAGAATGGAGAAGGGACTGTGACATGGCCATCCCCTCTGGGGGGTGATTTCTCGCTTTCTGTCTCTGTCTGGCCAGCACACGCACCCTATAGCAAAAACCTCTTCAAAAAGAAAAGAAAGAAAGAAAAAAAAGTTATGGTTTGAACATTACAAAAACCTCTCTACTTTCTGTCCCTACTTCTCCATCAAACTGCAGTTACTGTCACCTATTTTCTGTGAATTTTCCCTATCACCTCCATGGCATTTGATCCAGATGACTCCCATATGCTTCAAGAAACTCCTGCCCGAGATAGTGTCTCCTCACTCCACCCACCTCTCATAGTCCTTCACAGGCTCACCCTCTTCTGTGGAGAGCAGCCGATCTGAAAACGTGATTAAAACATGTGGCCTGTAGACACATGCAGATACATGCTTCTGTAAGCTGCTCTAGCAGGGCTATTAAGAAGCATTGACATACAAAAGCATTATCTGCCTGTGGTCAATGGTTGTCTTCCTGTTGTTGTTGATACCCAATACCCCGATACCAGGCTAAAGGAAGTCACATGCATTTATCAGATTGTCCCCCCAAAAAGATCAAAGAAATTATATGACACTAGTCATTTTCACATCTTCAGATGATTTACATCCAAAAACTGGCTTTGCATTCTGATTTCTCCTCCCTTATTCTCTTTGCATTCCACTTTCTTCCCCATTCCCTTTGCATCCCATTTTCCCCTTCCCCCATTTTCTGCCCTTTAAAAGAATAAACCTGAGGCTGGCTCTGGTCGCAACTTCTCCATCAGAAAAGCTGTGCCCCACCGGATCCACCTTTTCTATACTTGTGTGTCTTTGTGTGTTTGTTATTGCGTCTATTTCTAATCCACAGCCTTCTCCACTCAGAGAAACATGTTATGCCGAACGGGTCCTGGCGCTCTTCTGATAGCTCTGGTCAACAATAAAGTATTCCTTACTGTTCCAGTCTTCTCCCCGCTCTATAAACCACACTTCTGGTAATCTCATCCCATTTCTCAGGGCTTAGACTGTCATCTTTACACTGGATTATAAAGTTTACATCAGTAAATGTAAACATGGGAACAAGCAGTTAGCGTAATGGCTATGTCGCTGGACTCCCACGTAGTCGACCGCGGTTCGCGTCCCGGACTCGGTGGCTTAGAACTCACGCCGGGCACGTGTGAGTGCGTGCCCAAGATCCCGAGAGGAGAATGGAAGAGAAGGGATTGCGGCATGACCATCCCCCCTGGGGGGTGATTTCTCGCTTTCTGTCTCTCTGTCTGTCTGGCGAGCACACGCGCTCTGTAGAGAAAATCTCTCCAAAAAAATAAATAAATAAATAAATAAATGTAAACATGACTGAGTCCAACTTTTCCACAAATTCTAGACTCATATAGTATTGTGCTGAACCATATTAGAGGTTGAAGCAAAAGGAAAAAAAATCAATGCTCAGTTAAAAAAAAAAAAATCACTAAGTTCCTGTCTTCACTTAAACTGTTGTTATTTTGGACATGTGCTGCTAAGACACAATGCTTCATAGGTTAGTACCACATGGAAAGCCTGAGTTCAAGTCCTAGTCCAACCTAAAGTGTAATAGTGTTCACTTGTAATCCCAGCAACTCGGGGCAGCTGAGGCAGGAGGATCGTAAGCTCAAGGCTGACCCTTGGCAAAGAAGTGAGGCCCCATCCAAAATACAGCAGGGCCTACTGGCATGCACCTGAGGTTCCAACTGGAAAGCTGAGGCAAGAAAATTGTACTATGATGAGACTTTATATTTACCAAAAGAAATTACTTTTTAAAAATAATTATGGATTTAATTCTATTTGTTATTATTATTTTTTAAATTGACGAGACAGAGAAAGGGAATGCAAGAAAGCAAGCTGCCAAGTCCAGGACTCAAACCATGGTCGGTCATGTGGGAATCCAGCGCCTTTAACCACCATGCCACCTGACGGCCCCCAGAAAGAAATTATTTTGGGGACGAGCAAATGGCTTAATGGTTACATCACTGAACTGCCACAGTTCAAGTTCTGGACCCAGCAGCTTAAAACTCATGCCAGGAGACTGTGTGTGCGTGCCCAAAATCCTGAGAGGAGACTGGAGGAAAAGGGTATACTGCAGCATGGGCATACCCTGTGAAAAGTGATTTCTCACTTTATGTCTCTTCGTCTCCCCAGTAAGTGCATGTACCCTATAACAACAAAAAAAAAACAAACACCTCTCAAAAAACAAAACAAAACAAGCTATCTTCTTTCTAATTGTCAACTGCAGTTTGGCCTATTTTATTTTTCTTTTTAAAGAATTATTTATTTATTTAATTCCATTTGTTGGTACTATTATTTTTTAATTTGACGAGAGAGAGCAAGCAAGGGTAAGTGAGAAAGCACCACCAGGTCCAGGACTTGAACTGTGGTCATTCATGTGGGAAGCCAGCACCACGCCACCTGCGGCCCCAATTATTTCTTGCCTCAGCTTTCCAGTTGGAATCTCAGGTGCATGCCAGTAGGCCCTGCTGTATTTTGGATGGGGCCTCACTTCTTTGCCAAGGGTCAGCCTTGAGCTTACGATCCTCCTGCCTCAGCTGCCCCGAGTTGCTGGGATTACAAGTGAACACTATTACACTTTAGGTTGGACTAGGACTTGAACTTGGGCTTTCCATGTGGTCCCAGCTTTTTTCTACTTAAATCGGTTATATAGAGTTTCTGTCTGGCATTATGAAAAAGTCTGAAAGCAGATGGTGGCATGCCACTGAATTGCACATTTAAAAAAAAAATATTTTATTTAACTTTATTTATTCATTTATTTATTTAAATTTAACCAGAGAGAGAGAGAGAAAGGTAAAAAGCAAGAAAACGAGAAAGCAAGCCACCAGGTCCAGGACTCAAACCGCAGTCGGCCATGTGGGAGCCCAGCATCCTTAATCACAACACCTGCTGGCCCCAGAACTGTACATTTTTACGTAGTTAAAATGGTAAATTTTATGTTAGGTATATTTTACCACAATTAAAAAACAAACAATTACACTGACTCCTACAAATCTTAGTCCTTTGCTCCCTCTCATTTAATCTACAACTTTATCCTACACCCTATGCATCCTCCAGTCATAATCAAGTTCTAGGAAAAACCATCCTCTCTGGCAAACTTCTACTCACCCATTAAGACCCAATTCAGCTACTGTTCCCTGTGAAGCCTTAGCAATTGATCCTCTTTAAGTCTCCAGCATTTTGTCTGCCCCTGGTGTCACACCCACGCCTTGGGGAACTTTGTGAGGCAGAACTTGTCTTATTCACATTGTTTCCTAGCAGAGGTACACTCAATGTACCAGTGTACAGTCTTGTTTAGGCTGCTCTCCTCTGCAATCTCCCTAATACTGCAACTATTTTTGAAGTGTCCTTTCTTCTTTTACCTGTTTTGGTCATTATAGTTACTGGGCCAAAACTATTTTTCTGAGCACCTCATTGATCACCTATTTATTTCCCCATTCACTTTCTTGTCCATTCAGATTACCACAGTAGTGGATCCTCCTCGTGGCGTGCTTCGGGGCACTACAGGCTCGTGGTCAGATGAGTTCTCACTTGGGGCCTCACTTTCTCCCCCATCTTCAGCTTCCACCTGGAGAACAAAGTCTTCATCCTGTGGAACTTCTTCCTCTTCTTCTCCACCTTGACAGGCTGCCGGTGGCCGAATCTTCTTCGGTTTGGTGGGGCTGCTGACCTTTGGGGTTTCAGGACAGGTCACTGGAGGAGCAGGCAGGGCTGTGGAGAGCTCTTCAGCCAGTTCCTGAAGATACATAAGTGCCCTGTGGGACGGGGCAGAGTTAGAGCCATACTCACAAACATTTAAGTGACAGCTTACTTTTCCAGACTTGGTTGGTTTTTATCTCACTGGATCCAAGTAACCCTGTGAAGCAGCTATTAATTCCCCCTTTCTTTTTAATAGGTGAAGAAATAGAAAAACAGGAAAGTTAAGTGACTTGGCCAAGGACGATTCAGACAACAAACATAGAATCTGAATCCAGGTCTTCTGACTCCATGTCCAATGCACTTTAATTCTATCACAGAGAATATAGAGAGGAAGGGGAAAGAGCAGAAGGGCCCATATATACTGATATACAAACTGGGCAGCAATATAGCAACGAAGACCTAGAGGAAAATGTGATGGGGTACAAGATACAGAAAGAAACTTCTTGGATACACAAAGTTAGTAGTATGTACCAGAAACACTGCTATGAGCTTAAGGACAGCTCAAGTCTCTAGAATCCAGATACCACCCCGGCTTACCTGACACCTCATCCCAGTCTTCTCACCTCTCCAACATCTGCCCCACCCAGACCCCTTTCCCCCACACCTCCCTCCTCCAAGCTGTGCCCCACAATCCTTACACTTGGGCAGCCCTTCGGCGGGGTCGTTCCCCAGAAGGGGTCTCAAAATCCTCAGGGGGTCTCTTTGGAGGTGGAGACTCTGGCTGATCTAGGCCTTTTGATAACTTCAGCAGTAGCAGCTCTGCCTTGGACTTTCGACCTCGTTTCTTAGGCATGGGGGTGGATAGAGGGTTGGATTGATCTAAAAGACCAGGAACCAGAGGGGTTGGTGGAGGATTAGGCTTCTGGGGCCTTTTGGGGCCTTTTCGTGTCCTACCACTTTTCTTCCGGCCAGGCTTTGAGGCCCTAGGCTTTGAGATCTTTGACATCTCTGAAGAAAGATCTGTAGAGAAGAACAGGGGGTCTGTGAGATGGTACCAGAGCTCAACTCTTTTTGGAACAGATTACACTATACTCAGGTTTGTAAGATCCTATGAGTTCAACCTACTGTCTTCCATCTTAAGCAAAACATGGGGAAACACAAAGATAAAAGGACAACCAAGGTACATACCTTGCTGCTCCAGCCTGGAGAGGCTTTCCTGCTCTGGAGGAAGCCTCCTCTCGTCAGGAGAATCCTCAAATCCAGGCAAAGGGGTGGGTAATGACACCTCTATGGAAGCTTCCTCACTGGTCATTTCAGAAGAGGCCTTGACATCAAGCTGGTTTAGCACTTCTTGTTCAGGAGAGTCTACCACAGTCATGCTCCCCACGGGGCCGGCCTCCCCCAGGGCAACATAGCCGACCCCGCAGGTATCCATCAGCACCCCCAAAAATGGCTGCCCCTGTATACAGAGACATACAAATGAGTAGAAGGCAAAGCTATTTGCACTCACCTAGATTTTTGTTTTCCTGTCTTTTCTTCCTCATTCCTACAACTAGAAACTTAGGCTCCATGATCATTTGACAGTAATTACTAAATACCTTCTATATGCCAGGCACTGTTTTAGGAAATGGTAATAGGACCATAAGCAAGGCAGACCCGTTCCTTGTCCTTATGGAACAAACATTCTGGTGAACAAACAATAAATAAGTAAACAAATAATAGCACAACGTTATTTAAAAAATAAAAGCATTTGGGACCAGCAGTTAGTGTAATGGCTATGTCGCTGGACTCCCACATAGTTGACCACGGTTCGAGTCCCGGACCCAGTGGCTTAAACTCACGCCGGGCACATGTGCGTGCGTGCCCAAGATCCCGAGAGAATGGAGGAGAAGGGATTGCGGCGTGGCTATCTCCCCTGGGTGGTGATTTCTCACTTTCTGTCTCTTTGTCTCTGTCTGGCGAGCACACGTGCCCTATAGCAAAAACCTCTCCAAAAAAATAAATAAATAAATAAAAATAAAAGCATTTGTTAAATGCTTGCTATGTGCCAATGCTATACTAAGTGCTTTACATACACTACTTAATTTAAAGCTCATACTTTTTTGGTAAGGATACTACAGTGAATGCACAATTATTTAACTTCTCTTCCTAAAATCTAATGAAATGAATTACATATCAAAAAACAAAATGAAGAAAGAGAGAAAACAAAAAAACTATTACACACTTGGGGGAGGGTCACAATTTCCTAAATTTTAAGAGTAGTTTTCAGGGGACCAGCAGGTGGCATGATGGTTAAAGCGATGGACACTCCCACAAGGCCAATCAAAGTTCAAGTCCTGGACCTGGTGGCTTACTTTCTCACTTTCCTGCGTGCGCTTGCTCGCTCTCTCTCTCTGTTTGTGTGTGTGTGTAGTCAAATTACAATGAATGAATAAATAATTTTTTTTAAAAAAAGAGTAGTTTTCAGATATATATAATTTAGAACAGACTGAAGGAGGACGCTTAGATCAAACACCAACCTCTGCGGCTATCAGTCAAGGGGCAGATTTACTTAAGAATAAGTATGAGTTCCTTGGTGCCCCGCCACCAGTCTTTCACCTAGATGGGGGAGATGGGTAGGCTTGAGACAATTAAAATAATATCCTATTACATCAGAAGACCTTTTATACATTGGGACCAGCAGTTAGCGTAATGGCTATGTTGCTGAACTCCCATGTAGCTGATCACGGTTCAAATCCTGGACCCGGTGGCTTAAACTCACGTCGGGCGTGTGTGCATCCAAGATCCTGAGAGGAGAATGGAGGAGAAGGGATTGTGGTGTGGCCATCCCCCCAGGCGGTGATTTCTCGCTTTCTGTCTCTGTCTGTCTCTTTCTGGTGAGTGCACACTCCCTATAGCAAAAACCTCTTAAAAAAAAATAAAAGGTTGGGAACCAGCAGTTGGCGTAATGGCTATGTCGCTGGACTCCCACGTAGTCGACCGCGGTTCGCGTCTCGGACCCGGTGGCTTAAATCTCACGCCGGGCGCGTGTGTGTGTGTGCCCAAGATCCCGAGAGGAGAATGGAGGAGAAGGGATTGCAGCGTGACCATCCCCCCTGGGGGGTGATTTCTCGCTTTCTGTCTCTATGTCTCTCTCTCTGTCTGTCTGGCGAGCGCACGCGCCCTATAGTGAAAACCTCTCCAAAAAAATAAAAAAATAAAAAATAAAAGGTTGAGGCCAGCATATGGCATGATGATTACATCACTGGACTCTCATGTGGCTGACCTGGTAGCTTGAAACAAGCCAGGTACATGAGCATGGACACCCAAGATCCCAAGAAAAGATTACAGAAGGGGCTGCAGCATGGCCATCCCTGAAGGGATGTGATTTCTCACTTTCTGTCTGTCTCTGTTTTTCCGGCTAGTGAATGCATCCTATAGCAAAAATCTCTCTCTCAAAAAAAAAGTTTTGGAGGATGTTAACTGCTGGCTATGAGCACGTAAGACCCCAGGCTGAATAAATTGCGGTACCTGATAACTGCTGTGCTCCCACCCCATTCCTGAAAGCCCAGGAAAAGAGCATGCCCTCTTAAACCAATCATTGCATTGATCATGTGCCTGGGACCCTGACTCTCAATTCTGCTCTTAAAGATCCATGCAGAAAATTTGTTGGAGATAATGGCCTTTTCAGTATGACCTCCCCACTCTCCTTGGTTTGCACATAACAATAAAGCTGTATTTCCTAGTCTGGTTTATGGCGCACGGCCAAGTGAGCTTGATTTGAGTCAGTAACAATAGTAAGTCTTACAGAACTACTACACTCAACATAAACAATAAATGAAAAGGATTCAACACGGCACATACTACACATGTAAACACTACTGAAGGAATCAAAGGATACCAATGAAAAACAAAGGTGAGAAGTAACCTTTTGAAGAACTGCTCCAGAAAACAGAATAATTAACAACAAAAACTACTATATTTTTTATGAGTCCTTTTTAAAATAATTGTTTATTTAATTCTACACATTATTATTTTTTAACATGACGAGAGAGAGATGGAAAGTGAGAAAGCAGGCTGCCAGATGCAGGACTTGAACCGTGGTCAGCCATGTAGGAGTCCAGTGCCTTAACTATCACGTTACCTAGCAACCTCCAAATACTGTACTTTCAAGTAAGCCAGAGAGACTACGGAATACAAGAAATAAGAGAGGAAAGGGATAGGGCACAGCTATCCCCAGTGGTGTGGCACTGCTGTTTGATACTGGAGCCAAAAGGGAAAGCACCAGGTAATCCTGGCTGGTTAGGACTAGGGTGGGGAATGAGGAAGGATTCTGTTGTGGTACTTTAAATAAACCGATAACATTAAAAAAAAAAAAAAAAAAAAACAAAACAAACCACTGGCAAAAAGTGGGCTGTCAGTCATAACCCCCCCCCCCCCCCAAAAAATCATAGAAATGAAAATTACAGAAGCAACAAGCAGAAACTATACTGGTGAGAAGAGAAGCAGTGACAAGTATGAGGAAACCACAGACTGCAGACACAAGGGAAAGTGATTAGAGAGATAATATAGATGGAGAAGCAGGAAATCAACATTAGGAATAACTTTAGACTTAAAAAGGAGAGCTGAAAAAGGGAACAGATGGGCCAGCAGATGGAGTGGTGATTAAGGGTGCTGGACTCCCACATAGCCATGGTTCGAGTCCTGAACATGGCGGCTTACCTTCTCACTTTCCTTCTCTCTCCTTTCTTTCTCATCAAACTAAAATAAATAAGTAAACAAAATAATTATTTAAAAAAATACTTATCTATTAAAAAAAAAAAAAAAAACAGAAAAGAAAATCTTCAAAAATTTAACAGGATTTCCTTAAATTAAAATCAAAATTGGGACCAGCAGTTGGCTATGTCGCTGGACTCCCATGTAACCGACCACGGTTTGAGTCCCGGACCCAGTGGCTTAAACTCACGCCAGGTGTGTGTGCACGTGTGCCCAAGATCCAGCGAGGAGATTGGGATGAGAAGGGATTGCGGTGTGGCCATCCCTTCTGGGGGGGTGACTTCTCACTTTCTGTCTGCCTGTCTTTCTGGCGAGCGCACACACCCTGTAGCAAAAACCTCCCCCCACCCCCCAAAAAAGATACATCTAAAACAAAAGAATGAAGAAAGCTGAAAAAAGGTTAAGTTAAAATATATAGGGCAAATGCAAGCAAAAATAAAAGCAGGAGTTTAGATGGTAATGGCAAAATTCAATTAAAGAGAAAACTATTAAATGGAACAAAAGAGAATATTTTATAATGAATAAATCTATAATCATATAAAAGATATGTCACAAACTTGCAGAATTAAAGGACACAGGACTAAAATACATAAATCTTTCAGGAAATAAAACAAAACCAACTCTTCGAAATCACTGAAAAATTACGTAGGGTAAGGACAGAGAAAATACAAATAATGACTGACCTCTGTATCGGTCAAGGTTCAGTTTGAGCTGGAAGAGATTCATTGCCAGCTATTAAAGGGTTCAACCAGCAGCACCAGCATCTCCAGGAAATTTGTTACAATGCAAATTTCCAGATGAATTCCAGGCCTATGGAATCAGAAACTGACTGAACCAGCACTTTGTTTAAACAACCCCTTCGAGGAATTCAGATGCTTGCTCAAGATTCCAAATCACTGTACACATGATCATTGTGAGGGTTGGTGAAAAAAAAAAAGTTAGTAACAAATGTGTGTCAAATTAGGAAGTTCCTTTCACAGCTGCTGGTTCAAGATCGGTATGGCTCGCCCCTGCAATGCATGATGGGAAGCCACCTGCTGAATCAAGAAGCTTTTGCCACAGCTGATGGTTCTGCAAACAAGCTGCCTCTGCATTAAGCAGAAAATGATTTGACTAAACAGGGAAGCTGCTTCTCTGGCTCCAGATCAGAACCATACAGTGCCACAATCTGCACCAGCAAAATGCATGCCTCCTGGCCCACCTCTTTTGTTCTCTAAACTCAATTCTAAATCCCAGTTCTCCAAGACCTCATTTAATTTGCAAGCCCTAAATCTCTTTAAAGTCTTGGATTAAAAAATTCTAAAGAATGAAATTTTTTTTTTTTTGGAGAGGTTTTTGCTATAGGGCACGTGCGCTCGCCAAACAGAGAGAGACATAGAGCAAACAGAGAGAGACATAGAGACAGAAAGCAAGAAATCACCCCCCAGGGGGGATGGTCACGCCGCAATCCCTTCTCCTCCATTCTCCTCTCGGGATCTTGGGCACGCACGCACACGCGCCCGGCGTGAGTTTTAAACCACACGGTCCGGGACGCGAACCGTGGTCGACTACGTGGGAGTCCAGCGACATAGCCATTACGCTAACTGCTGGTTCCCAAGAATGAAATTTCTTTGGGGCCAGGCAGGTGGCAGGCCATGGTTCGAGTCCCAGACCTGGCATCTTTCTCTGTCTCTCTCGCTCTCTTTCTGTTCCTCTCTGGTCAAATTAAAATAAATAAATAAAGTAATTCTTTAAAAAAAAAAAAAAAGAATAAAATTTATTTATTTTGGGCTCAGCAGGTGGCAAAGTAGTTAAGGCACTGGACTCCCATTGTGGCTGACCATGGTTTGAGTGCCAGCCCTGGCAGCTTGCTTTCTCACTCTCCTCCCCCTTCTATCCCTCTCTCTAGTCAAATTAAAATTAATGAATGAATAATGGGGACCAGCAATTAGCATAATGGCTGTGTTGCTGGACTCCCACATAGTCGACCGCGGTTCGCATCCCGGACCCGGTGGCTTAAAACTCACGCCGGGCGCATGTGCGTGCGCGCCCAAGATCCTGAGAGGAAAATGGAGAAGGGATTGCGGCGTGGCCATCCCCTCTGGGGGGTGATTTCTTGCTTTCTGTCTCTCTGTCTCTCTCTGTCTGGCGAGCGCATGCGCCCTATAGCAAAAACCTCTCAAAAAAAAATTAATGAATAAATAAATAATTCTTTAAAAAAGAAATTTCTTCATCTTATTTCTTTTCAAATATTTTGTTTTAGCTTTTTGGTTTTATTTTGCTATAGGGCATGTGCACTTGCCAGAAAGAAACAGAGAAATTAAGAAATCACCCCCTAGGGAGGATGGCAATGACTGCAATCCTTTCTCCTCTACTCTTCTCTTTTGGGCACACTCGTGTGCACACACACAACCTAGTACATCTTTCAAGCCTTCAGGGTGAAGATTCAAATCCTGTTCAGTCACATGGGATAGCTTCCTTAACCCCTACACCACAGAGAGACCCAAACCATTATTCTTTGATCTTTCCAGTTTCTCCCAGCATCTGCTACATCCTATAGAGCTTAGATTCCCTAACTTTAAAAAAAAAAAAAAAAACATTTAATTGTATTTATTCATTCATTTATTTTAATTTGACCAAAGAGACACAGAGAGAGGGAGGGGGAGTGAGAAAGCAAGCCACCAGGTCCAGGACTCAAACCTTGGTCAGCCATGTGGGAGTGTCCAGCATCCCAACCGCCACGCCACCTGCTGGTCCCCTCCCTGATTTTTTTAAAAGAATTATTTATTATTATTATTGTTAATATTATTTTTCACATGAGTTTTGCCAGAGAAAGAGAGAGGGAGGGAGAGGGAGAAAACAAGCCGTCAGGTCCAGAACTCAAACCATGGCCAGTCATGTGGGAATTCCAACACCTTAAGCACCATGCCACCTGCTGGCCCAGATTCCCTGATTTTAATCAGGTTCTTGTTATTCTGAACTTCCTTTCTTCTTCCACAGGTCCTAGGTTGAGCCCAATCAGTCTTCATGTGTGCACCTAAACTGCCAAGTGCCAAAAATTCTACCCTCCAGCAAGCTCCCAAATGCTCTGTCCTCCAATCTCAGATCCCATGGTTCTCTGCAGATGGCTTTGTTTCTGATTTCTGAACAAAACCCAAACCGTTAAGATGGGAAAATACTTTAATTTCTTGCTAAGGAAGCTAACACTCTACATTTAAACCCCTCATCTATTTCTTTTTTTTTTTAAATGGGAGCTTTTTCAAATAAGTATTTATTTAACTTTATTATTATTATTTTCCAATTTGACCAGAGAAAGACAGAGAAGTGAGAAAGCAAGCCACCAGGTCCAGGACTGGAACCACAGCCCCCTTAACCACCATGACACCTGCTGGCCCCACACCTCATCTATTTCTGCTTTTTGTTTTGTTTCACAGAGAGACAGAAAGCAAGAAATCACCTCCCCCATGACCACATCGCAATCCCTTTGGGTACACACTCACAGGCGTCCGGCGTGAGTTTAAGCCAGTGGGTCTGGGACTTGAACCACGGTCAACTACATGGGAGTCCAGCAACACAGCCATGACGCCAACTGCTGGTCCCCTCCCCCACCCCCATCTATTTTTAAGACCAAAGCCTCCACTGTGCCCTAGCCCCATTCCTCTACCTCCTTTCTACTGATTCCTTCCAAACAGCATTTTAAAATGTCTACGATTCTTGAGGGACCAGCAGATGATGTAATGGTTAAGTCACTGAACTCACATAGTAGACTGCAATGGACTTCGCAGTTTAAAATTCATGCTGGGCGGAACCAGCAGTTAGCGTAATGGCTATGTCGCTGGATTCCCACATAGTTGACCGCGGTTCGTGTCCCGGACCCGGTGGCTTAAAACTCACGCCGGGCGCGTGTGCGTGCGTGCCCAAGATCCCGAGAGAATGGAGGAGAAGGGATTGCGGCATGACCATACCCCCTGGGGAGTGATTTCTCGCTTTCTTTCTCTATGTCTCTGTCTGTCTGGTGAGCGCACGCGCCCTACAGTGAAAATCTCTCCAAAAAAAAAAAAAAAATTCATGCTGGGCATATGTGCAGGCATGCCTAAAATCCTGAGAGGAAAATGGAAGAGAAGGGATTGCACCATGGCTATACCCACTGTTGGGGTGATTTCTGTCTCTCTGGCAAGTCCATGTACCCTATAGCAAAAATCTCCCTCTTAAAAAAAAAAAAAAAAGGTTGGGGGCCAGCCCTTGACACAGTGGTTAGGGCACTGGACTCCCACAAAAAAAATATATATATATATTTAAAAGTCTGATTTTTTATTTTAATTTTTAAAAATTTTATATATTACTTTTTAAAAATTACTTGCTATAGGACACATGCACTCACCAGAGTCAGACAGACGCACACACACAGAGAAAGTGAGAAAGCAAGTCACCAGGACTGGGACTCAAACCATAGTTAGCCATTAGGGACACCAGTGCCTTAACCAGCACACCACCTGCTGGCCCCAAAATATCTATGGTTCTTATCTTAATACATACAACCTTCCTTAAGCCCATATTTTTTCTCCAGTTAATATCCTCCTGCCTTTCACAGTCAAACTTTTTTTTTGGGGGGGAGAAGTTTTTGCCATAGGAAGCATATGCTCGCCAGAAAGACAGAAAGCGAGAAATCACCTCCCAGGGGGGATGGGCACACCGCAATCCCTTCTCCTCCATTCTCCTCTCAGGATCTTGGGCACGCACGCACACATGCCAGGCGTCAGTTTTAAGTCACTGGGTCCAGGAGTCAAACCGCGGTCGACTATATGGGAGTCCGGCGACAAAGCCATTACACTAACTGCTGGTCCCCACAGTCAAACTTTTCAGAGAGCTGTCTCCACTTGATATTTTAATTTCCCTGCTTCATTCTGATTAGGATGATTCCTCAACTCATCACTAAAGCTAAAATCATCAATAATCACTGTCATGAATCCAGTGGCACTTCGTCTATTTGCCTTGACCTTTCAGTA